TCCGGCGACGACGACGTAGAAAACGATTCTAAAGTGAAACTTGCCTGCGTAATAACCGACAACGCTGTGCGTTAAAGAGTTAAAAGTTAAATTTCAACTGAGCTTTTGACCTTTGATTCTTATTTACTCGACTTATTAGTTGTATATCAACCAAAACAATAACGATCTAGTTATTATTTGGCGGACTGATTATCACGCGGACGGCCTGAAGATACAGTAGGTACACGATCAATATGCATTTGTGCGTTAAGCCTAAGTAGCGACGACAAGGAAAATAACGAATACTATATTCGTTACACGTACATACGCGAAGTTAGCAATCTTATAAATTCGAGCGATACTTTAAAACATTCCGCGAATCTTTCTTAACGGACAATCATATTTTCATTAAATCCGGAAAATGTATCCCGAAACTCTCGAAAAACTTCTCAAGAGACAGAATGTGACCGGTACCGCGTGCGCCCAACCATGAGCCTGTAACTTCCCAGTTGTTAATCCTGCATTTGTTTTGTAGTTCGAGGACGCATGGCTGGTCATTTTTTGTATCCGATCTATCACTATAATGTCTGTACGACGGTTTCACGTGATACCGTCATTCGTTGTTTCGTAATGAACATTTTCGTATACCTCGAAGTTTTCACGCCGGAAGACGTTAGCCAGGGCCGATTGGATGCGTTTCGCAATAATTCAGCCTTTGGACAGGTGCATCGAATGGCTGGTAGAGTTTCAGCAATATTATACTCTCATAGCATACACGGAATCTGCTACGACCTCCTCTTCCGCGGTTTTACACCGAGTCCACTGATACTTTTATCGCGTTGGTCCATTCGATCGTGGAAGACTATTCACCAATACCACTATGTGAAAATCTGTTTCCGTTTATTAAATTCACTCGCGCGCAATTCCGAGCGAATGGCCTGCACAATATTATTCAGATACTAGACCGACTGTTTTCACCTGGCGGAAACGTGGAATTCCCGGTTTTTTTTTTTTTTTTTTTGTATAGCCGAACGACAAATACATTATTATTTTGTTTTTTTTTTGTTTTTACTATGATTGTCACAAAATGCAATTTACAGAACAATAATCAACGATAAAAAAAACGAAACCGTACAAACGAAATGTTCTCTGCAGATATGTCGCCACGCGGACAGGTGGTTTTTCGGCCGTACCTACTTTTGCAGGGTTTCAAAACCGTTTGGCTAAAGTCGACCGACATTATTGCTCTCGTTTATCACCTGTATGTGTGTATACCGTCACGCGTGAAACCCGAAAACTATGACGCCGCACAATATTAATATTATAATAATAAACCGATGTGTGCCGAGCATAAATCTGTATAAACAGTGCCGTTGATAAAACGTTGACAGGCCGTTCGTTTTCGATTCGTACACGCGACAATGGGTCTTCCGGTAAATTAAGTCATATCCTCGGAATTTTTTTTTTTTTTTTACACTGCAGCGCGTTCGCAACTCGCAAAACTGATAAATTTCAAACGGTTGGACGCAAAAACAAAACAGGAAAAAAAAAATAACCACAAACCCACGCCGAAAATACGAGGTCGATGATATTTTATTCCGTGGTGAATATCAATATAATAGGACGCGGTGTTTTATTTCCCCCCTCCCCCCCACGTCATCGAAGCTCGTACGCCGCAGATATTATATTTTATCGAATAATAACTGTAGGTATACTGTATTCGTTCGTTTCGTGTATTATTTTTTTTTTTTGCTGTTGTTGTTTGCAACGGATACTGTGATTATCAGTGTGACGATACGAACGGATTAAAAACGCGAAAACATTTGTCATACGCGTATGATTCGTATATAGTTACGATTCCGGCGGGAAATCAACCGACAAATAACCAGATCGAAATGAATTTTCCACCCACGTGTACGTAATAGCCGTTATATGACATAGGACACGGAGTAACCGAAGTTCGTTTTGCACATTGTATTTCGACAAACAATCGCTTTTTTTTTTTTTTTAATCCCTTTTTCTTGAAAAAAGAAAAAAAACCCCTCGAATTGGCGCAATGTATGCTGCTTGTTTCTTTACCGTCCTCGACAGAACGAATTCCGCAAAAAAAGTCAACCGGCGCTTCCCGGGGGGTGGGGGTGACGAGTGTTTCGCGCGACGCCGATCACTCTCGTGTAGAAGACGTTTCGCCCGCGATCGCACCGTTAGGGCTGGTTCACACGAAGAGCGTTAATCGCGCGTTGTGACATCGTCACGACCGTTCACACGGCTGCCGATTTTACGCGTTTTTTACGCATTTCGAGCACTCGTTTTTACTGCAGTCGGCCGAGCGTTGACCGTCGATCGTCGAACGCGGACGTTGCAGATGCGATTCGCGTATGGACGCCACGTCGCAGAAGACCGCGTCGCAGGCGAAAAGAAAGAAAACGTCGGGTTCGTCCTGTTTCACGAAATAGACGTACACCAAGCCTTCACTTCGCTCTCGGTAAAATTGCAATACTTGTAACTTCTTGAACCCGCGACGTTTTCGGAAAAGACAAAACGTTGCACAAACGGAAACGCATCGCTACGGAACGCGCGTCGCGACCGACGACTCGGACGCTTGTCCGCGTGTACTTTCGGACGCGTTATCGTCCGCGCAGCTATCGGGAATCGCGTGAACGCGCGTTCGACGGCGTCCGTGCGAACCGGCCCTTGTCGTTTACCGGGCGCGTCCCGTTGACGGTGCCCGGGGGGGGGGCGCGTGTCGTAAAATCAACCGACGGATGTTTGCCGACGGCCCGTCGAACCGGCGACCCGGAAAAAGGGACGAGACCGCGCGGCGTACGCGACGCGCGATAAATAATATTGCGCGCGTGTTTTTAACGATTGCCGCGGCAGTGCTGCGGGGCCGATACGATCTCGTCGCGGGACGCGTGACGGGCGTCGTTCATTTGTTTACGCGGCGTCGTACGGAACCGACGGTCCCGACGGACTAAGTGGACGGACGCGCGGTCACGGCGACGGGGCGATTTTCGGCGCGTCCGAACGCCGTGCGTTTACCGACTCGTAGAATACGCTCGCGCGAAAAAACCAAAAAAAAAAAAAATAAATAAAAATACGTTAAGATCGGTCCATCGCGAGAGGGCGAACCAATAACCGTCCGGGCCGCGCGCCGCGCGCCCCCTTGTTCAGGAGACGCAATTGTCCGTGGGTTTTAACATTTTCTCAAGCGTAGGCGAGTACGTCTTCTTTCCGTCCTCCCAAACGGGTGCCCGCACTGACCCGCACTACTGTTTTTTAATAATCCGAAAATGTGTTGTTTTCTTTGAGATAAGGTTATCTTTAGAACGGGTTTATTGATACAAACTCGGTTTGTGTAACATTATTGTTATTACGTTATTTAATTGATATTTTTTAACTTTCGTAGTTTTTTTTTTTTTTTATCATTCCGTTTTCTCGCATAATATGATATTTCTGGGCTTCCTGACTAACCGCCGCGTTATCCGGTAATCATTTCAAAATGTGACGTCCGATTACCCGTCGCGATCGCACGATTTATTATTTCGACCGTACACTGATCCAACGGTCTTTCCGACTTTTCATTTGTAGCACGAAAATACTAAATTATACTTTTGCCTAATGCGATACGATCGTTACAATATTATACAATACAACTGTCATTATTGTCGTTATAAGGTGGGGACTATTAAGTCAATACCGGCGTACCGTAAAACGGTGTAAATAGGTAAATGAAATAACCACTGAAAATCGAATCGGAACATTCTGTGTCTTTAGCTTTTCAACGTGTGTATTACACTCTAATATCGAAACTTGTACGTAGATACTGTCGAATGAATAATCGATTTGAATTTTGGTGCGAGTAACAATTCTTGTTTCTTACTGATCTGAGACGGTGCAAACGACAAGCGCAGTTGAAAAACGTTGGTGCGATTTACAAATGTCGTATATATTTAGAGTCAATTTCGGTGCAAAATGACTACACCCGCTCATGCGCGTACCGCAATGCAACTGCACATGGTAATCGACATGACGCGTTAGCCGCTTATATTTTGGATAATATTAACTTTTTTACGGTTTTTTTTTTAGAAAATTAAAGAAACACTCAGCTCTAAAACAGTAGATTATCGTTATATTTTGATACCCTTATTTTCGAGAGTGAAATCACTTGAGAACGGATTTATATGTACTTAAAATTCACAATAAAATGCTTGAAAAAGGCCATAAAAGCCCCAAAAAATCACTTAAAAAATCGTCTATTGTTTCAGACTTATTAAAAATAAATTTTTAACACTAAAAAACCATTATTACAAAGTAATTTTCTTCAAATATATTTGTACGTATTATAAAAAGTCAAAAATGCTTGGTGTTAATCATCGGTCAGTGTTAGAAAATTGTATTTAATAGGGTTAAGTTAGAGCCGTTAGAGTGGAGACTTCAAAAACCCTTTACGACTTTTGATATTTTTTTAAATATTTTAAAATGCTTTTTCGACAATTTATGCGCTTTTTTGTGGATTTTAAGTACATATAAATCCGTTCCCTAGAAATCACTATTAATGACTTTTGATTTTTAAACAGCAACCTATATTAAAAATTCCACGAATAGATAAGTTTTAGTAAAAATCTATTTTGGTGTTAACATTTTTAATTTCCGACCATCCGTTGATGAGAATTTTACTTCGAAGCTCGTCGTCATGTGGATAAAGGGAGAACAGTGGGGCATAATTTGTGTGCTGATGTAGCACACGGCGTAGGAATATCTCCACAACGGGAAGACGGAAATTAAATATTTCAACACCAAAATGTGCTTAAATTAAAACTAAAATATCAATGATTTATGGTATTATTTTGGTAACAGGTTTTTCTTTAAATACCGAAAAAAAATCGGGCAGTCGCTCCCCTACGAATGTCAGGGTGGAAAATAAAAAAAATTTAAATCCGACGTTTTAACACGGGGATAATGTTGTTTCCTTTATGTCTGATAACAGATCAATATTCACTCTAACATTGAAACTAACAGCCCGACATTGATTATGTTGAACGCAAATTGTATATGATGTCGTGCGTATACGACGCGGAGACAGCGAAATGTTCGTTATTTTAAGAGGAGGCTACCCGCATGTACACGTATCGGACTAAGTTAACGGTACCTTTAGAATACGAATCGTGGCGTTTGGGTTGAAATTAGAGTTTCAGCGCAGGTAGAAAAATTTAAAGTGGAGATTATATTTTTGAGGGTCGTTATATGCTGCAAAGTTTTCCAATACGGTTTTGAACGTTTAATAACAGTGACTAAATAAATACTCGAGCGGCCGGTAATCGAACCACATTTTATGAGTAGGTACGAAACGTTTTTGTTCGTTTAATGACACGGGGACGTTTGAGTGCCTAACTGCGAAATAACAATTAAGTAAATACACCTCAGTAGTATGATAATGTTGAAAAAGTTTTGTTGTTGTGCAGTTTGTTATTTAAAAGATCCAGAAAAAAAATAATGTAAAAACTATTGTTAAAATCGTGATAAATATCAAGCCGGCCCAGAACACACATTATAATACTACTCACTTTGACTACGGGAAAATCAGGAGACACTTTACTATTTTTAAGGCATACTATTAGTTTCAATCGTATTTTTTTTACTGTTGTTCATTAATAGCGAATCGCGTGGAACTGTGTGTGTGTACATTGTATAAATGTCGATTAAATATTTTCGCCAATCAATGCGATACAGGTATACAGGTAAATATCGAATGATTAACGCGGGTCTGGGAGAGCCCGCGTTCAGAAATGACACGGATAAATAACGCGTGTCCTAAAGCGTAATCGCTGTGTGTGTCGCCTATATTTGAATTCGTAACGAACGAATGGCGGAAATTAATAGAAAATAAATTCCCGGTCCGTTGTGCAAAACCAACGTCGGGTAAGATTTTGTTTCGGGTAACAGTATCGGTAACGTTAATGTCCGCAGAATTAATGTACAGATTCTGAAAACGGAATGTTTATTCGAACCTACCAAATATTATATTTATTGGTGTTCTCGCGCCGGTTTTTACGGACATTATATTTACGAACGGCTTTGGCAAGAACAAAGGATATTGTTAACGGTTATAACTGCACTTTTGTTCAGAAACAATGATTTCCGTCGTACAGTCGGCCGTCATGACGTGCGAATACTAACCGCGACAAAAGTAATAGTAATATATTTTTTTTCGATCTTGAACCGACGATTAATCTCGTACAATAATAGGTCACTATAAATACTCGTATATATATATATAAATAAGTTTCAAGTATATTGGATTTCTGCAGTTTACCTCCGTCTTTTTTAAGCGGTATCATTATTATAACGCGCCTCGTTATTTATAACATCGCTTTTAGATTTTCAAATTGTAAATCGTATTTTTCCTTTTTTTTTTTTTTTTTTTTTTTTTTTTTTTTTTATCGCCTCCTGAATAGCGACGGGGCAATTTATCATTTGTTCGTTTTCATTACACAGAGAAAATAAGGTGAACAAAAACGAACATTTTATGTACATTTCTAATATTGTTTTCGTTATTCTAATTTGCCTTTAAGATGCTGTAAAACGGTTTTCAAAAGGAAATTATGAAACTACATTTGGATTCACACTATCTAAACAAAAGACACATATACCTATTTTCCTACAGTTTTAACTTTTGTATACCTACCGACGACTCGTCCTTAATGACGAGGGCAATCAAACGGCCGCTTATATAATATTATTATGTATACCTACCAAGTTTATGCGTAGTAATTCCTCTTGAAATCGCTTTAAAACTTCGAGTCGGGCGCGTGATTTATGGACGGCAAAGCGATTTTAATGTTTTACGTCGCATCCCGTCCGTCCCATCGTACACCGTCATTTCAAACTTTGCGACTAAAAATAAAATAAAGCGTATTCCAGTTGAACGAATTACATGAACCCTGTACCTACTATACAGACGTACTTAAAATTTTCCCAGGGGCGGATTTAAGGGGGGGGGAAGGACAAAGGAGCATTGGCCCCCGAGTGCTAGTTGTTAAGAGGTAAATCATATTATTATAAGACTTGGTAAACTAGTAGGTTTTTATTTTCATTATTAACCCTGTCCTATAGTTCACACCAGCGCATTAAGGTATAACATAGTGTTTTATAGAGCGACAAATATGAATTGTTTTTATAAAAGGGCGCTAAAGGAATAGTGGTCTGGAGCAACTAAAATCTGAATACGTTTATATATTTGACTGAACATATGGACAGCGGTTAAAATGGGAAAAATTTCGAAGGTGGAATATATTTACGGTTTTGAGGTATGTTCCCGATAGTTAACTTAACCCAACTAAACTTTCATCAAATCCATCACCGAGACAAGATTTTCAAAATGTTTAATTGAACGCATGTGCTGTGTCGGAGAAAATATTCTCCCATACAAATTTGTTTTTTAAGATTTTATGATTATGCGCTAATAGTATTTAAAGACGAATTTTGCTCCTTCCATAACAAAAACAAATCCTTCGCTCCTCTCCGAATCTAAACAAATATCCTACACATATGCGAGGTTTCAGTAAAAACAAAATGAAACAATGTATGATTATATACAATCTGATAGGTAATAAAGAATTTATGTACAATATAATAAATTCGAAATTTTAAAATTTCATTAAAAATATCTTAGTGGTAATAACAATATAGCGACCGCTCGAATTCCGAAGACTTAACTAAAGCACATAGACGATTTTACCTTAGATAAGAAGGGGGAGATCCTCTGACTACTTTAATCACTGCGTATAGAATGACGAGGCTAGAGGAGAGTAATATAGTGTTATCAACAGTTATAATAGACGTATGAAGAGGTGGGGGGAGGGTGAAAAGTTACATGTAATATTAGTTTTGTATAATAATAGTATCTGGTATACGAAAAAAAAAAAACACATAATATAATATACAATAAGACTCGACGGATTTAATGTTTTTTTTTTTTTTTTATGAAATTCGACGTCGCAATAAGAAAAAACACAAAAAAAAAAAAAATGTACTCATATTATAATACCTATATGCGTATATTGTTTCGATACGCCCACGTATAATTTATTCACAATTACGACTCTCGGTAATATTGTTTTGTAATTTATTATTGGGTACCCGAGACGGTATGATAGGCCGCACGGCGACGCATACATTTCACACATAATATTATCACGATGAAATATCGCAGTCGCGTTGTTTGTCATAAAATATATTATCGCGGTGCTCACCGCTAACGGTCAGGCGATAACAACAGTAATAACTGTTTGATTTTCAATTCGCTTAAAGGAACGTCACTTACCACGTCAATACAATATATATATATATTATACAGGTACGTATATAAAAAATGCCGTGTGCACGTGCCCTCATAGAGTGAAAATCGTACAGAAAAAACCACGCAGATAATAATACTCGACTACGAGGTATACCTGGTGCATACACTTTGTCAGCGTTCTATGCGTATAGGTTGTAGGTATATACTTACAACGTTACTGTTATATACATTACCTGTATACGTACGTTGTAAATCATCGGATCCGATACGATTGCACTATAAATAGATACCTATGTAGGTTTATCAATAAACCCGCAGCAGCCGGTAATTGTACTGTACCCGTGTGCAAAAAGGAAAAAAAAAAAAACAGTAATAATAATAATAAAAAAAAAAAATCTCGTGTAACCGATAATCGAATATAATAGTGATTTATTCGCATAGAAATCGTATTAATTGAATATGTTATTTCTCGGCAGTTTCAACAACTGCATAATGCACGCAGGTTGTTGGGGCGGTAGCCAGCGAAATATACGACAGAGAATGGGTGTAGATGAGAACACTTAGGTGGATAAGTGAAGTGACAAGAGAAAATAAGATAAGGAAAGAGTGGCAGCATAGGCGCGGCTCCGAAGAAGAATCGAAAGCAATAAAAACAGTAATTGAAATAAACGTAGGAGGGGAGTGGGGAAGGGAAAGACCGGAAGAGAGATGGTTGGATTCGATTGAGAAAAATATTAGAACGGGCAATATACGCGAGGATGAAATGCGTGATCGGAGTTGGACTTGACCAGAGTCAAGTGAAAGTTCAAACAATGGAGGCGACTGACTCCGAATAGTTGAGACGAAGCCGAAAAAAAAGAAGATAGATTTTTTCAGTACGACTTTAAAATGTGATAACTATTAAATTGTTTAATATGTGTATGAGTTCTTTTTTTAAATTCTGAATAGAGCCAGGAACGTGTTGGTTTTACAAATGATGTTTATGTATATTTTTTTTTCTGTGATCAACTGTTTTACAAGACATTTTGCTTCGTTTTGGATTGGACTGGGGTGGTACTTTAGCTTTAGGGGGGTCATTTTTTTTTCATATTTCTAAGGGTTTTCATAATAAATGGAAAAACCGTAACCGAACTCTGCTCAGAATCGTTTTTCGTTAGCAATGGTTAATCTTTGATTACAGATGTATATACATAGAATTTCTATATGTGCTACAAAGTTCTTAATTGAAACAAGATTTCTAATGAAAAAGTGTTTGTGTTTATAACACAAACACAATAAAAAAGACGTCCTAGGATTAAAAGACGGATACAACCACTGTTTTAATTAATTTAATGTATACCTGTAAGCAATGATAAACATTGCATACGAAAAAACGATTCTGAGCGGAGTTCAGTTGATAGTAATGCTTTGTCAACAATATATATGTCACACTATAGTAAAATAATTAAATGGACACTATATATTTTCTTCAGTAATATTTGTTTAATGATGTACCAATTTCCTTAGTTTTCCTACGTTTTTCCCGGTTTTCCCATGTTTTTTCCCAGTTATAAATTTTACTGGGAAAACTCTTGAAAAAATCAAGAAATAGCCTCCCTAAAGTACCTCCTCGGTCAAATTTCTTTTTAGAACGTTGATATCACTATAATTTGGAGCAATATTTCTAGTAGAATAGTTATCCACAAAAAGAAAATCGTAATTTGTATTTATTATATTTCGTACATTTTCCGGTTTTTTTTTCGGTTTTTCGCATTCGATGAGAAAACTATTTAGAAAATCGAAAACGACTTTTTTTATAGTACCTCCCCACACTGATTTTCTTTCAGAAAAGGTGCCGCACGTAGGAATTCGAGAAAGTCTTTTCGTAGAAAAGTCGTTAACAGATTAAAATAAAAAATAAATAAATAAATAAACATCCGCATGAACTTCGCTTCACTCAGAATCCTAAAAACACATCGCAGTAAAACCAATCACTCAGAATCTAAAATTACATAATATAGGTCAAAAAATAATTTATTATCATAAAACACGTACGTCTAAAATAACCCCTCAAATAACCTCAAATTTATAGTAATATTTGTTTGTTTTTTTTTTCGATGTGCTTTCGTAAAAGTGTTGATCCTTGTTTGAGCCGAAGACATTTATTACATTTTTATTCGGTAATTTATGTTCCAAATAAACATTTAATATTATATAGTAGGTACCGATATATTTATGAGTCCGCGGTAAACTGCGCTCTCGTACTTTATTAATGTTTGCTAAATATAGCAGGATTTTTTTTTTTATATAGATCAAAGTCCGCCGCAGACAACTACCGGGTTTCTCCAGAGGCGGAATGTCGGTCGTAAAAAATTATGCTCAGGATACCCAACAAAATACGTGTGTATGTATCTACGATAATATTTACGATGTGCAATCTAAATTTTACTCCATGCACATTTTTAACAAAAGTTATTTTAATTCCCCTTATTAAAAATAATAATAATAGCCTAATTACTTACAGGATGTATAATTTTTTTTTACGAAAAATCACGTTAGGAAACAATAAAATTGCATTGATTTACAGTAAATTATAGTTTTGAGACCATTTAGTCGATCATTTAAACGTGTTTACAGTATGTGTGCGAAAAAAAAATATCATCAAATTTCCTACAAAATCTTCGTTCGAAACATAAAGACTGTCACCTAAACTCCACGTAAGCAGGTATTTTACTAGTTCGTGATAAAATTTCCTGCGTACTGTTTTTATATTTCACAAATGATTACCACGACTGTGTCAAAATGTGAAAACGAGATTTTCAAATGAGGAATAAAACAAAACGTGGCAATGAATAAATTATAATGTTGCAAAATATCATATTAATTTATTATATCAAAATCACGGACAACCGACTGCCACAGATAATATTATATTGTTCATTTATCCACGTCCGTCAGCATTCTCGGTATACGTGTTCAAATTACAATTCCAGAAAAAAAAAAAAATATATTGGCGATTTATATTAAACACGCGATTCTTATTTCGCTGAAAATTAAAAATAATATTCAAGCGTAGATTGATATAAATGTTTTTTTTGACGAGCAAACATTATTTTCTCGTTTAATGGTTATTTTTCGCAAAACAATACATTATAGAAAACAATATCCGGCGTTACCTAAAAGTTGGCGTACTTTCAACTATTTCTGCAGAGGAGTGGGGTCAATATTAAATGTATACGTAAATTTGAATAGTCTAATCGGGCGACCATGACTAACTGCAATCTGACAATTATTAGTTTTCCATGGTCCGGCCACAGCTTGGGAATCTAATAGCACGACACGACCATTTGTATAGTTTTTAAACTTATTAATTTACCCGATTTGATAATGTTTTTTTTTCGGTTCTGGGGGGACCGAGTACCCCTTAAGCCCCCCGCGCGTAGTTACGGCACGGTGCTTACTGGTTGCCCAACTATAATTCCTAAGTAAAATAAACTTGGAATATAATTTCGTGTATTACACCAGTGTGATTATTTTATCGCAATGATTGCAATTATTTATACGCGAATATGCATAGAGCAAATTCCATTTTGGTTTTTTCAAACGTTATAAACGGAAAAGAATCAACGATCAAGGTTGACGATTAAGTTCGCTATTTGAAATTCAAAAATCGATACGCGTTTATGACGGCGTACCAGTTATGGTTTGAAATTATTGTAATTTGGACACAGTAAGCGAGTTGAAACTGTTAAAAGTCAATTGTTGTTTTAAATGTACTGTGAATCTAGTTAAAAGTCAATTTCAATAATTGAAAAACTTATTATCAACTTAACTTAATTTTTTTTTTTTGTAAACTTATTATCGCCGTCTTTGTGAAAATCATCAAACCTATAGTGTATGCGATTTATTTTAAATATAGGGTATTTGAAAACGCACGGACGATTTACGTAAAACACCGGGGTCGCGTACTCACGAGGATCATAGGACACTGTTGTAGCGGAAATGAAGAAAAACCGTATACCTACAATTGTCTATTATGATACAGACTTAAGACAACACCTATAAGCCCGTATTCCCCCACTTCCGCCATTAAGTATCTGGCACCGGTTTGTTGGTACCGATACGCGTGTACGGGGCGTATCATAATGAGTGACGGGTTTTCTTTCGCGTGCGGAATCGTTATAATAAGGGCTGTGAATTTAACGCGGTGAAAAACCTTAAAAACGGCATTAA